AAAGACTGTTGTTGGTGGTGACTGACAGTTTGTTGTGAAGTGTAATGGTCCAGGTGAGTGTAGTCTAGAGAAAGACTGTTGTTGGTGGTGACTGATGTTTCGACAACCTGAGCGGAAGTCATCTTCAGAGTCCAGTGAGAAAATGAGACACAGTCAACCTTACGTATTTATAAGTAAGTGTTTCATGGAAATGCTTCATTAGTTCTTATTACTATAATGACTGCAGCACTTACATTGTGACATTCTTTGCTGATATCATCCTCCTGTTGACAAACAAAACGCATTATAATCAAACTACATGGTAAATAATGGTAACCGAACTAAGTGGAGTGCAAACTTGTGGATACCCTCTGAATTATACTTGCACTCTTGAGATATTGGGATCCCTGTGCTGGAGTTGCATGGAATGGAATGAGTCCAAAAGTATCACTTTTAGCTCATTTGAGCATCAAAATATTTACAAACATCAACGGTAAAGTAAAGAATGCACAACTTCAACAGTAGAAACACTTTGAATTTCCACGGACCTCCACTGTAATCTATGAATATTAGACTAGAGCGGATGCAATTAAACCGTGAAATAAAATCAAACTAAGAACTAACTAATAGTATCTATTTAGTGACTAATAGTTGCTATCACTCAACCAGAACATTTATTAAACAAAAGACACAAATGGTCTCTTGTGTATTTGTCTTTGTATGATGAATGTTCTGGTTGAGTGATAGCAACTATTAGTCACTAAATAGATACTATTAGTTAGTTCTTAGTTTGATTTTATTTCACAGTTTAATTGCATTCGCTCTACATACTGTAAAAATGACATTATCCCTAACAGGGCTTCAAATAACTGCCAGTCATTTGAAAATTTCYAGCCAGAATTGGAACTTATCTGGTCAAAGCTTTGCCTTGCTGGTCATTTTGACCAGTAAGGTTGAGCCAGAAATGATGTATAGCCAAGCTAAAACCACTTTTGCCTTTTAACATGACCAGTGACTGATTGGACGTTATTGTAAGCCCTGCCCTAAGCATCAGGGAATTTTAAGCCAGAGTGTTTGCAGCTAATTCACGTCACATGTGACTATTATTTCTCAAGTTCTGATTGGACTTTCAGAGGCTTTGTCAGAAATGCCAAGTCTAGGCATCAACTAAGCTCAAAACTCTGGCAATTCAAACTACTTTTAACTTAAAAAATAAAGATTGTCGAGCTAATTCTCAGCGATGTGGTTGGGAAGTGAATTATTTTGGAAAGTATTTCACATTCATTCATGATAGATAGTTTAAATTCTAATTTCTTTACGGAATTTTTTTTTGAAATATCGGTATAGTTGATTGGAGATTTGAAATTTAAATTTAAACATSAAGTCTTGAAAGCCACGTTTAAGGGAATTACTGGTATTAGCTGTAAAACACACATTAAGTCTATCCATTACCTTTGCTTTATCTTGTATACAGACAAGAATATCAAAATTATTTTTTGGGTCTATTTCATGGCACAGTCTGCTTATATCATCGGCACAGCTAGGGTGTTGWGCGAGCATCACCACTCCTCCTTGAAACCCTCTAGGTCGTTTACTTTGGTTTTCATCTGCATTGTCTTTATCTAAGATAACAGCAAATGAAAAGAAATATTGAAGAGTAAGTATAACACCAAGGGATGCAGGCCAAAAAAAAGACATTGACCACAAAACAAAAGGGTATTGCCATTTATGAGGGCATGTTAAACTTCAATTGATAGCAGTTGCACTTGTTTGAAATACTCAATATAAAATGGCACTTTATTGTGTAAAAATAGAACTTTATAGGGGGAGGGGGGTGGCATTGGTTGGGTAACACTCCTTGGATCTGCCCCTGTCAACAGGTTTGACTGGGGAACCACCACCCTGAAATCTTTTTTTTTTCTTTTTTTCTTTTTCTTTTTTTTTTGTTTTGTTTGTTTGTTTGTTTTTTATTTATTTTTTTCTTTTTTTTTTTTCACCCTGAAATCATTCTGGATCTGCCACTATTCGTTTCAAATGACATAATTTTTTAGTTATTTAAATTACATTTAAAATTAGATTAAAATACTTATCAAAATGATTAAGTTTTAGAACTTCCTTCTTCTTCTTCTTCTTTCTTTTTAAATTTTTTCGTCCCTTTTTTATTTCTATTATCTTTACTTCATTCAGCTTTTTTCTCATTTATCTTTTTAGTATTTTAATATGTTAATATATTTATATAGCTTGATATGTTTTGTTAAGCATATATCTACCTTTATCTACCTGAAATTATCCACATTTACATACTTTTATTAGCTATATTATATTACATCTATATATATATTAATATTTCTCATCGCATTTAAGCACTACTGATCATTTAGTCTGGAAATGGCATTTCATTAAAATTCTTAGCAATAATGGGTGTCTTTCATGCTGGGTATGTAAGTGCTCTTTTTTACAGTTTGGTTTGGTGACTACGAAAAATAGTTCCAAGTAGAGGTTGGAGTTGCTGCACATAGCAAAACTATAGGAACTCCTCAGAATGGCAAGGTGGTAAAAAGTTTTCGCCTCTCATCTCTGAGATCTGGTGTTCGAATCCCAGTCGCCCTTGGTTCTCTTTCTGACTTGGAGGGTTTTTCGGTCTTCTGGTTTTTCCTCCCTCCTCTCAAATCGACCATAAATAATAGAAACTGGTTAGAACTGTTCTTGGGGGTAATACACTGACTGTATATCAGCTGCCAGAGGCGCCTTCATATGCTTTCAGTTCCACCCCATTAAGCTACACCACTGCTGTACTTTGCCGTGGTGATTAATGATGACAAGTTTTTTATATATTTTGTATTGTTTAACATGTGTAGCAACTAAAACCTTAACTAGGAACTATTATTCGTGGTCACTGAACCAAACCGTAAAGAGGACCATTAAGATGTAAATTACATAAGTTGAGGTGATTGGCTACTTTTGGAAAACAATTTAAACTTTTTTAAAATAACCATTTCTTTGAATGAAATCTAATGGCGATTCCAAATATGAAAGAAAAATAGGGTTTCCCCAGCTCATTTTCAAGATAACCAGCATTTAATGGATGTTTTCAAGACATTCGTTGAAGCAAAAAATTTGTGTGACCTGAAGTGATCAGAAAATTTATTACAATTTGTAAGTTAATTCTTAGTTTTTTAGGCTTTATCATTTCTCAAATGCCGATAAAAGTTTGAAAGTTATAAATTCAGCGGTTTGTGTGTGCTTGCACATCGTGGGTTCAAATCAAACATTCAAAAGTAGGCACTCACCTCAAAGCTAATTTTTCTCGGAAAAAATCCGAGCTAAAGTATTATTATTTATCATTTATTAATATAACAGTGCATGCATTGTAACAACATTTGCAACTGGGGAAATTGAATATAAGGAAAAATGCTCATTCAAATATAAAATAAAACTGAATATTTTCAAAAGCAAGGCTTTGTCACAATCAAATTATGCTCAGAAGTTCAAGTTTAGAAAAAATTCACCTAATTAGAGCACTAAAATCCAAAAACTATTGAATTGTTTCAAAGGTCTTTTCAAAAAAATGGCCTAGTAAAAGGAAATGAAATTTATAAACGATGTAATCTTTTTTTTCCAAACTTCTTTGAAACTATCAAAATTAGGCTAAATGGATTCTGTACATGTAAAGGAGTTGAAACTCTTCATAATCATAAATAGGTATATGAGCATAAATATTTTGCATTATGCAATGAGGTCTTTTACTCAAAAACTATTGGGGACAGGGGAGGGGGTTGAACTTCAATCAAAACAGACTACATTTACACGTAAGTGTTATATGAATAAACTCATAATTGCAACGTGTTGAATACCTTAGAGAACGTACCTAAAGAAGAATGAAGCAGAAATCTTTTGAAGCATCCAAGTTGCAGTTTCAATGAAAATCATTGATTGATCAAATGATTTTTTGTGCAACAAAAAATTTTATGCGAATTATCGTAAACTTACTATCAGCCGCGTTATAAATTAATTTAAAATTCTTGGAACTTCGATACATGATTTTAAAGGAAAGTAAGGCTAAAAGATATTAATTTTAGAAGTGAATAAGATATTTTGAAGGGGGAATTTCAGTGGCTTCTATTCTTTTGTCGTGGCGAGAAGCGCCTTTCAAAACCTTATAAACAATGACTTTTCACAGTTATATATCGCATTATAAGAAATTCATAGCAATTAGAAATAGTTAATGGTATCTTTAGGATCATTGAGCATCATTTTTCGACCTTATTTCTTTTTATGCTTAACACCAAACTTTAGAAAAGACTTGCTTTTTTGACAAGAGAAAAAGTATCACAAAACACAACAACAACCAGCTGTATTGATGAAAAAAATGATTTAACTACCCGAAATGTCGTTTGATTCTTGTTCTTCCTTTGCTTTATGAACTGGGATCTTTTTCGCTACAGCTAAGGGCATTAAAAAGATATTTAGAGCTCAGTAAACAGGGGGGAAATTGGAGAGATAGGCAAAAACATGATTCAAAATGTCTGCTGAATGAAATGCCTAGTCATCTTTCGAGGTGTTTTTACCTTCAGTGTCTTCGTTTCCTGCTTGATTACTGTCCTCATTCGAATGTTCACTCTTCACAACCGGTGTTGGTTTTTTAAGTACGCTTTTGGAGTGTACAGAAGTATTAATAAATAAGAGAAAAATTAAAAGAGAAAATATAATAGTTGCGTTCGCCATGCTTGCTCTCGACGAGACTACAAACCTGGCGAGATGATAGAGACTGGTACTAAGTCGTATCAACCAATCAGAAATCGATACGTCTGGAGAAGAAACTCGATTCCTCGTCCCTAACTCTTCCCTAACACTAATATAACATCCTTTAAAAAAATTCAAAATCTCTTTAAAAAATTACAAGATCTCTAACAACGCATTAAAGCTAACCCTGGCGCTTTGCAGTGCTGGGGAATTGATCAAATCATTCTCTAAAATTCCGTTAAATTTAACTGAAATTTTTTTGACACGCTGGCAATAATTGCGTTACGGACCGGGTATAGGTATAATTGACATACTCCAATAAAACAGTCATACGTATGTATATCATCGTATGGATAATTATTCAATACAGCTGAGCATACTAAAAGAATTAAAGAGGCTTCTCAATAGTAGTGGTGCCCTCTCGTAGTTTTCTTTTTTTGTCTTATAAATTATGCAAAAAATAATAAATATTAAAAATAAATCGTGTTTTGGAAAACTGTTCTGTGTTTCGGGTTCCGATTCCCTGTTCGAAGCTTCCGTTCGGGTTGCAGCGCGTGAAAACCTACATTTTCACGCCCGTTCTTCCTGTGATTTGAACAGATAGTTATGGACTTCTGGAAAAGTAAAATAGTACAATTTGTACAAGCGAATGAAATAAAAAAAGAAATAAGGAATTAAGAATGCTTAAAACAAAACTACCGAGATATGGCTCTAGAAAGGAAGAGATCTCCTTAAATATTTTTGGGGAAATTTTCAGAGTACGTGAGCACTCGTGGTAAGCGATGACAAACGGCGTAGTAAATGGATGCTCATTCTCACGTTCTCTGGGTACACGCGAAGCTAAACTTTAAATTGGAATAAACTTTTATATTTATTTCGGAGATTGATTTTATACATGTATACTTGAAGGCAAATCCAAATCAAATTTTACACAAAAAACTGTTGACTCGGAATATTAATGAAAAATTAATAGCATTTTTACCGGCATTTTTTCTTTCCTTTTATATCTGTATCCCGAGGAAAAAAATAAACCCTATTATCAATTTTGGAGACTATGTTTCTATTCTTAGTAACGCTCATCCCATTTTCCCAGCCCAAGACGAGGGTCAATCCCAGCTCCAATAGTCCCCTTCACAGTTCCCTGCGCCATCTTGAAAGGTAGCCGACGGCAGGCCCGTAGCAGGGGTAAAATTATTGGGGGGGGGGGGGGGGCTCGCTTTGCCGCGCCCCATGTGACCATATCCGCATATCTTGTTTTATTTCTTCATCCTTTACAAATGCCGACTATGTCGCCTCTATCAATTTTAAGATTATAATAGTGTTTGAAATTTAGCTTGATGTTTACTTTAAAAAAGTTGTGAAATTATTGGGGGGGGGGGGGGGGGGGGGCCCCCCCCCCCCCCCCCCCCCGGGATACGGGCCTGAACGGTGAGCTTGCAATGATAGAGACATGTGAATAATTGTCTAAGGTGTTAAAAAAAAGGTCTCTATCATTGCAAGCTCACCGTTCNGGGGGGGGGGGGGGGGGGGGGGGGGGCAGGCCCCCCGGCCCCTCCCCCGCTACGGGCCTGAACGGTGAGCTTGCAATGATAGAGACATGTGAATAATTGTCTAAGGTGTTAAAAAAAGGTCTCTATCATTGCAAGCTCACCGTTCGTCTCGCTTCGATGCAAAGGCACGGCTACCTTTCAAGATGGCGCAGGGAACTGTGAAGGGAACTATTCGGTTTCCCCTTCAGCATTTCACACCATGTGTCACTCCTGAGAATAAGATTCTTTCTTTGAGTTGTAACTATATTCGTGTGTCTTCTCATGTGCAACCGTTACTCTAAGGAATGACACGTGGTCTGAAATGGGACAACAGTGGATTAGGTCTATTTGATGGTCTGTCTTTCCGTCCGTCCGTCTGACCAACCCTGACCCAAAGACGCACCAAGAAATCTCGCCACTGACGTCAATATTCGTTGCGCGAAATAACTGGTTAATTCCGCTGATCAGGATGGTTAAAAAGGAACTCGGATGCGGCCATGCATACTGTTATTGACTCATAGTGTCATGGCGCGACTATCATTACACTCAGTCGAAATATTCAGTCGAACTCAGTGGAAACTTGAATTTAAGGCGGAATTGCAAGGAGCAATTTTCTCTGCAATTTGTCTTGTGACGCAAGTTCCATGGAGCATTGCAGCGTGTAACCTACAGCGCAATTTGAAAAAATATTGCGAGACAACTTCCAGCAATCGTTGTGAAAAATTGAATTCTTTTCTTCTTTTGGCAATGATTGCTTCTCCGTTGCACTCTGTAAACACTCTTGCAATTCGTCTCACACAGAAAAATTGCTCCGCATGTAAACGCACCTTTGCGCACCCAATTGATTTAGGCTTGCATCACACGAGGAGCGTAACTGCTCCATAGCGTGCGCTGATGAATGGATGATGTGTGAAGCTTCAAATTCTACCATATCAGAAGTCCATAACTAGTTATGAACTAATAATTATGTTAACCTTTTTCCCCGCACAAAAAGACCCTTTGCAAATGACTTGGGAATAACTTGCGTTTTATATCTACTGCTGAACTGATCTAAGTCAGGGCATGGCTAACTCACAGATGGAACCCTGAAACAACCTCTGGGCTGATCTAGATCAGGGTAAGTCTAACTCACAGATTGAACCCTGAAACAACCTCTGGGCTGATCTAAGTCAGGGCATGGCTAACTCACAGATCGAACCCTGGAACAACCTCTGGGCTGATCTACGAATTCTACTTTTCACAACGATTGCTGCAACTTGTCTCGCAACATTTCTTGGCCTGTAGATTAGATTACAAGCTGCAATGCTCCATGCAACTTTTGTCGCAACGCCCGTTGCGAGACAACTTGCGGAGAAAGTTGCTCCGTGTAATGGCGCCTTAACTCACCGATCGAACCCTGTGAAAGAACCACTAGATATTTCTATGTCGAGAAGCTTGGAGGGGGTTTGTTTCCTGCACACCATAACCGGACCAGACCACATCTTAATGCAATGTGCCACATAATAAGAGCTTTACGACAGCAGAGTTGTGTTCAAATCATCCGCAATCATTTCCAATATTTCTGGATATTTCAAACGCGAGCGACGAACGAAGGAAAGCAAATATAATAACAAGGTATCAGGGTTTCACTCGGGCAGCGGCCGTGTGTACTGGTTTAAAGGGAATGCGCGCGCAGCACAATAGATAATTTCTCATTGGAAAAATGTAATATCGTCCGTAGCTTTATGCGGGGAAAAATTAACATTGCATTGTTCCATTCATACAGCATGGCTGCCTTGGAGATCTACTTCTATTGACTAGCTATTCTTATTAAACTTCTTAAATTCTATTCTTTTGGGCTCAATATTACWGTAATGTAAGCTTAAATAGACCTAATCCACTGTTTTCCTATTTCAGACCATGTGTCATTCCCTAAAGTAACATTTCTTTGTTTAACTGTTGTTACATGAGAAGAGACATGAATATGGATACAACTCAAACAAAGAATATTATTCTCAAGAGAATGACACGTGGTCTGAAATGGAAAAAAACATTACGCCCAAGTGGATTTATTCATTGCGTGACAATCTGCGCGATAGGAAGGGAAGTGATGAGTCGGCATTCCTTCCGTTTCCTGATCATCTAAATGATAAAATGAAAAAAACTTGTGTCCATGCTGCGATTTTCTTTCTTCTTTTGATTAAAAATATGTAATTGAACAGTAGGAAAGATTAGTTCAAATCTACAGGTGTCTGTTCCAAAACTAGCATCGTGATTAAATTAAATTATAACCAGAGTCTTTTAGAAGCCAAAACCAGGTCAAACCAACATGTTTTACCTACAGAATATTTTTCTTTACTTTGCATAGTGAGTCATTGGGGTAAATTCTATAGCACGTCTTTTAAATTTAGAAGACAATGACCCAGCTATTAACCAACATGTTTTACCTACTTTATCCAATACATCTCTTTTTGTAGATATACAGAATACTTTTCTTTTCTTTACTTTTGCCTTTAATTTCAACATGGTATATTTGCTGTGAGATTTACTTGGAGTATACAACAAGAAAGACCTTTCATTATCATAGGTAAAGACTAGTAGTCAACGTAGTCAACGCAACGAACAATGATTATATGAATAAGACAAAATACAATACTGTGTGTTTACTAATTCTTGCTAGTCAAAAGTGATTATGCCTTGTCGACGTACAGTAGCTAACAGCGGCACCACCAAGGCTTACCCAACCCAACGCTTATGGTTCGCGAAAAATATCATTATGCAACCGGCAATAGGAAGCTAATTTAAAAATTCAAGAACCATTAAAAAACTATATACATGCACAAATTAAACCTGTTATTTCTTATTCTGAATAATGTTTAATTAGACGGAGAGTATCGTGCGAACTTTTTTCTTGAAATAGGTGTACAAAAAATTTTAGAAAATATTAGCAAAATTTCTTGTATACTTCTGACGAAAGAAAGGCAGTTTTTGACATGTAATTTACTGCATGAGCTGCCTATATTCCATCCATTCAAACGTTGTTTTAAGCCTAAGTAATTGTCTAATTCAACTTATCAACGTAATGTCCTAGTTATTTAAGTTTTTCAGTGGGTGGGTTATGAATCATTTTATCCCATGCAGTGCAAACACTTTGTCATTTAGTTTATTTTGACTGTTAAGTTGTGTTAGTTACTTCCAAAATCACGACATCAAATTGTTGGCTGTTAAGTCTTTTTAAAGAATTTTCTCCAACGATTACTTATTCTTGGACTTACCAGGAAAACAAATAATGATATCCGAACGCAGCACTTTTTGTTTAAATTTTTTCCATATTCTTCGTAAGTTTTTTTAAAGTTATTCTTCGAGTCCAGGACGTGATGTTTTGTTCTCGCGAAAATTTTATATGAATTTTTTCAAAAAAAAAAAAAAAAAAAAAAACCCCCCCAAAATAAAATGCCAATTTTAAAATTTTATTTTATTTTTTGAAAAAAAAAAAAAAAAAGATATGCAGACAGTTAAAGAAAATTCGTATTCAAAAATACATTTTCTCTCAATTGATGATACGAGGTGACCATAACTAAGATAACGTTACGAAAAGATCAATTTTGGCTTCTGTTTCATTCACATATTATGAGATTTTCCTTTTTTCTTAAAAAAATATATAAAAAACCGCAAATGAATTCAAAATCTTTTGCTTATTTTGTTCGCTAATTTATGAGCCAGCCTCCAGACGAAATCGAATTCATTATAAATGTATTACATTATCAGTTATTGATGCAAAAGTCAAAAATAAAAGATCCGCTTAGCTTTGAGAAACGTCGTCTGAACTTCTTACAGTTCATTACGTGTGAATATTTGATTCTGTCAGCTTTGAACTTACTGTAAAGGAATTTATTTCTGTATTTTCTAAGACTCTTCTCAGGAAAAAGACGGTTAAAACTCGAGTCCAAAATCTTCACAAAAATCACCACTATATATCCCTGATATAAACACAAATTCGGGAATTCCCAAAAACATGTTTTTAGATTACAATATGTCATCCTCTAAATCGCATATATTTTCATGAACACGTGACCTTTGAAGGTTGGTCGTCGGTTGTTGACGGCAGCGAGCTCTGGTTCTGATAGGTTGTTGGCGTAATGTCATAATTATCGTTACCTCCCTGGAGCTGCAACAGTTTAAATATTTCATCGGGAGCGTCGCTTTCATTCAGACATAAAAGAGTGTTAGAGAAGGTACAGTTCATCGCGAAGGTCCATCTAACTCGTCGAAAAGGAGATTTCTGCGACAATGTCTGACGCACCCAATCCACTGGACATGATGATCAACGAGATGATTTCTCGCACTCCCGAGAAACGCAAAATTTCTTTGCTCGGGAAAACATTCTGGCAATATCCTACAGTTTTTGACTCAGAATTTACGTATCAAGGATGCGAGTTTCTCGCGTTGGAGGTTTCTCAGATCGTGAGGAAGGAGTTGTCGCAAAGGAATGACCAGGAGGTATTTGACATGCTGGAGATTGGCAGCGGCACAGGCCATGCGTCTATTGAAGTAGCTTTAAGCTTTGATCAATGCCGCATATGGGCAACCGACATTAACCCTCAAGCTATTGAAAATACGCTAGAAAATGCTAAACTCCACAGCGTCGCAGACCGAGTCCAAGCCTACCTCGGAGATGTGTACGACGCTCCCCAAATAAGAAACAAGCAGTTTGATTTGATATTTTGGAGCTTTCCTTTTGTGCCAGCTTCAGGCCCGAACGGTGGTCAAGAAGGAGTTCACCTGGACCCCCTGGTGCGTGGTTTGGTAGACCCCGGTTATAATGGCTTGCGGGACTACCTCGCGGGTGCGAGGGCTCACCTCAAGAAAGATGGTCGAATTTTACTGGCGTTTTCCTTCGAACTTGGTTCAGAGCATCTGCTAAAAAAGATTATGGAGGAAGTTGGGTGGAGCTACAAGGTGTTGGCCGAGGCGGAGGTAGAGCTTAGTTTTACAATTTTTCCAATGAGTATGAAGAATAAGGTTCAACTGTTGGAAGCCGTGTGCCAGTAAAACACAACTCAGTGTGAAGTGTTATGATCTGCAGGGGGTATTTAGGCTAGAAATATTTGAATGGACAGTAGAATATTAGTATTCACAGTCTAGATTAGATCTATGAGTAATCATCGACTCATTTGATATGCTTGATAACACCAGAGACAACGAGCTAGTTGACTATCTGTTGTTGCTGCCGCTAATATCTTTGACTAGACAAGAGAAGATTATTAAAGATGACTAGAGATCTTTTCGCAAGAAACAATGTCTCGATGGGGCAAATAGCTTTTAGATCTTGCTCCTGATATAAGTGTTTGTCATAGTATTAATGGTTTTAAAGAAACGACAATAAAATTAAAATGAGTCTCCCACGTTTTGCAGTCATTTTGTTTTGTACCAATGACTTTTTTTATGCTAAAGATCTTTTCCAAGAAAGGTTGTCGCGTATTCACTAAATATTGCCGGTGGTTTAGCACGCGACACTACCAATATACAAGTACTGACTGTCTCTACTTCTCACCGCCAATACCACCAACACCACAAGATCTAACTTGCAGCATTAGTTCCGCAAGAAGTAAATATTACATATTAAGCAGTACAGTTCAGGCGAAAAAAAGACAATACTACTGCTGTGACCACCACCACCACCACCATTACTACTACTGGTGTTAATACTACAACCCGCGGGGCCAGCGGCTTTCGACTATGAGTTACTTTTTGTCACCAAGCTATCATAAAACTTCGTAAAAAGGGCGGATTAATTTCCCATTTGAATAGCATAAGTTCCAAGCCACCCAAAGAAAAGACGTCGGCAATTTGCTTTGAAATTCAGTTACAAACTAAAATCGTTGCGTTTACATTGGTTGCAGATTATTGAGGTTTTACTGGTCATCAGTCAACATGTACCATGTCTAATGTACACAGGTGTTACTGTTTTTCCTAGTGAATGACAGTTCATGGGGATAGGGGTGGCCCTCTCTAGTATTAGTCCCCGCACCACAAGCCAGACTTGCTTTAACGTACAGCTCAAATCATACACCGTCCTCATAATGGCTGACAAGTGGAAACAAGGTCAACCAGTCATTAGTTCACATTAAAAGATATAAAAGCAAATGAAATGCATTTATAGAAGAAAAGTATAGAAATTGACCTTTAGTTTTGACCTGAATTCGTGCTATCCACCTTAATTTTAAATGAGCAGCCTTGCTCAGCCTTGCAAGATGACTGGGTGAGCTCGTTTTCGTGCACGGGTCATTCATTATGAGAACGGTATATAACAATAAACCTTTCTACCTTGGGCGTAATGTTTTCCTTTTCAGACCACGCGTCATCCTCTTGAGAATAATATTCTTTGCTTGAGCTGTATCTATATTCATGTGTCTGTCGCAACTTTCAAACAAGCCAATGATACTCTAGGGAATGACACGTGGTCTGAAATGTGAGAACATTACGCCAAGGAAAAGAGGTCTAGTAATTAGAAAGCCTGCAACAAAAACCCACCAAACCTCTCCTCCCTAGTTAAAATTTTTCAGTCTAATTCACATGTAGCCTTGACCTTTAATAAAGAGCGGTAATCCCCAACAAAGACTAACGCAAACGTTGCCATGACAACTAATAACAACACGTGGGTCGAACACTCTTAAATGATCCCGGATGTAAATCTTAATTTAGCCAAGACCTCCTGTTTGAATACCTTTTACCAGCATGTCTATTTTCAACCAAAATTGGAAATATCAAATATAATTATAGATAGCATATGACTATAAAATATGGAATTTAGATGAACTTTTTTAACGTAATAGCGCAGTCTGAAAACGTCGCCTATGGCCGGAGATCCGAGTCCCACGAGCCATAGCACATAAGATAGTTATTTTGGAACGGTAGTTTTTTAAATACTGAATAAGCTAAAAATAGCAATAGTTGATCGATGTTGGAGATGAAATGTTATGAGAAGGACGACAGGTGTTGTACGCTAACACTGGACTCGAGTCACGCAAAGTATACTTGTCTTTGTTCGTTGGTGCCGTCCGTGTTCAACCTCATCTTTGGGCTTCCTGTGGCGATGTATTCCAAGGAGCCCAAGCCCAAGTTAACATCAGATCATCATCAATTCAATTTGAGAAAACTTTGCATTCTCGTTTTTTGGTGGAGTTCTCAAACCCTAATCCACTGTTTCTTCGTAATAGATCACGTGTCATTCTCTTTAGTATTATTCCTTAGAACATACATTCATATGGACGAATCTCATCTTATTCTGGGAGACATGACATATGGTCTGGAATGAGAAAACAAATCGTTAGTTGTTTGGGTTAAATACATGTAAGAGATTGAAAATCATTATATTTTATGTTCCAAAAGTCTTGCAGTCTTAGTTTCAATTACCTATCGTAATGATTTTCTGCCGATGATAAGTGGACAGCCATGAGATAAAAGCTCTATCACATACCATATATTTCGTACAAGATTTCAAATTTGAACATCCCTGATAGTTTTTTTCTTGCTATCGAATCAGATTCTGAGGTGTACTCTAGATCAATCAATAAAAGTTTCAGAGTGATTAATCAAAACGAGTCGATAAGAAGTTAGAAATTCGGCCTTTTTCCGATTTCCAATCACTTACAGAAATTCCTAAAATTCTTCATATATTTTTACCTAACTTAAGATATTATTATTTTCTTAAAAACTTCATATAGTAAAAGTGTTATTGCAGAAGTTAGGATAGTTTTCATGCAGTCTAAGACCTTTTTTCAGTGTTTTGAAGTGGATGTAAAAAATTATGACACCGATTTAGCTTTTAGTATCAATCATTACACACGCGAAATTGTTGTAGAAGAAGGTGTGTTTAAGTGGACGCGGTCAATTGAAGCGTTTCCACGACATTGTCGATCAGGAAACATTAGGTTTTCAAGGGCACTCCCAACGTCATGGCAACGCCTTGATTGACGTCCTTACCAAMATTGACCTACTTTGTCGCAACGGCAAATAGTACGATTATGCGCATGTCATTAAGAGCGACTGTAACTGAGCTACACCACAAATTTCCCTCAAAATGCATGATACGCTAAATACTTTCTTATTTCTGAAACTGTTATTTTTAGAGCTGTTCTATTAATATGATCATTGTAAGGAAATAATCTAATTACCTCTGCATCTTTCGTGGTGTGTGGGAAGCAAAATTGGGACTTTATATTTCACAAGCCGATGATGGTTTCTAAATCAAACAAGTTGGTTAAAAAGCCTTAAGGGTTCTAGACAAGGCTCAAGGGTCATCGACACGTTGAACTGGACTGGTCGAAGGCCTCAAGGTAGGAAATGACAAAGTTTTCACTCGAGCGCTATTGGACAGAATTCACTAATTGCAAGATTGCTTGGTCGTTCAAGGCTAAATTAGAAGTAAATCCACTTGATAATTAATTTCTTTGGCGTAGAGAATATAACAACGTGGTGGGCACCCACCAACCCTCCCACGGGACACCCACACAAAACAACAGGGAACCCACTTGACTAAAAACCTGGAGGACTTGATTTGGAGGGGGAGGGGTGGGGATGCTCGAACCTTAGCACCTGTCGTAATCTTTTTGTACCTATACCGCTGTTCTTTGACTGCAGGCTCATTTGTAAAGATTTAGCCTCGTTTAAGAGCAAGTAATTAACAAAAGTGAACTGTAATGTAAAGAATGCTCAACTTGAACAATAAAAATGTTTTGAAATTCTAATATATTTTCTAAATGTCTATGAATAGCTTACATATAAACATTTAGGTCACTAACTAAATCGAGCTCCTGCTTTAACTCCTACTTTTGATTTTGGGCGTAATGTTTTCCCATTTCAGACCACGTGTCATTCCCTTGAATATCATTTCTTTGTTTAATGGTTGCACATGGGAAGACACATGAATATGGATACAAGTCAAACAAAGAATCTTATTCTCAAGAGAATGACACGTGGTGGGGAAATGAGAAAAACATTACGCCCAAGGAAAAGACTGTCGACACGAATCAATGGTTATTATATTACTACCCATGCTCAGTTATTAAAACATTCTTCAAAACCATTCTCGATTCCAGTCATCCCCTTACCCAGCCAGGAACGCCTAGGCCCTTCTCATTAGCCAATGAGTAGGGTCTGGTTACGAGAATGGGAACACTTGCAATATGCAGGCTGCAATCTCGTACCCAGTCCTCCAGCGCCTTCCTGCTTTGCCGTCAGAAGACTCTAGGCTCGAGAATATGCAGGCTGATGCAGGCTACGTATTCAGAGCCTTGCAAACTCGTTCGCAGAGCCCTTTAACTGTGCATGCGCCACAAAATTCCAACATGAACTGTAAGAAATAAGGGCCCTGGAACTGAGATTGGAGACCACTCGAATTTCTTTTATGCATTGCACATGCTCAGACGGTCAGTTGCGTACAGTTATTTGGGTCAACCAATCAGAATTTAGAATAGATTTGCGTTGTTTGGTAGAAGGTAAAGCATAAAAATGAAGTGGATTAGCGTTAGAGAGATCCAAATTTGAACGAAACTTTTGAAAATAATAAGTGCTCCGTTGCCATTACTGCAAACTGCTAAAAGGAAAACTGCAAGAAAAACTAGTTCGAAGAAAAACGAAATAGGAAAAAAATATCCTAAAAAATCGGCAACTGTAACCCGCAACCCAAATTGCTTGCAGTATTTGGTTTGCGCACAGCTTTCTTCAATTTAAAGAATAAAGCCCTACGATTACCACGTACGCTTTCCTCTTGAAGCGAGGGACCCGACAGAGAACGCCTGAACACACCTATTGCGCGTATCACGCTCTTCAACTCCACTTTTAAAGACCTCTCTAATAAGGTGTCCCCAACCATTCGATTCAAAATCCCTTGAGATATGTATGACAATGAAATAACCACCATGTTGGTTGATCTAACGAGAATGCATTGTTATCGTCAACCAACATGGCGGGTACGACGTAACATGCACATGCTTTATACGGGCACTTTCTCCCCCCCCCCCCCCCCGATATTGAAAAGGCCCAGATTTGGCTATGAATCAACACACCGAGTAGTGCACAACACAACCTATCGAGTAATGGTTTATTTTGACATAAAACTTACGACAGCTTTTCGGCTTCGAGCTTTACATAGTTAGTTAATTGATGTCAATTAATCACTGATTTGTTGGGGGAGGGGGTGGGGGGAATAGTTTTCCTGCTCCATACACGGGATTGGTGATAGATATTCTGCGAAAACTTTGTTCACATTTTTTTCTGAGTCTATAAACTATTATTTTGTTTCCTTATCAATACTTTACACAGACATGACTATTTGTCAGAAAAACGAAGGAATTTTAGGTATTCAATGTACACGATAGCAGGGCATCAGAGCTGTACGATATTTAGTTTTGCTCGATTTTTCGGGTCACAACTAAACTCTCTCGTACAACAACGGTAATAATTAATGGAAAGTAAGGATGCGAGATTCCTAACTCTCTTGGTTGAGATTTTTCATGGCATTTTCGTATTCTAACATACGATATCTATTCTACGATCACTACTACTCCACTTAGAACAAAACAAAAAACAAGTAAAACTCTCACCTATTCTGAATCTGTTTTGGTTTTTTTCTATAGACACATCACAAATTTTAACGTCGGACTTTGTACAGTAACTTTTAAGTAGACGAGCATTTCTTGAAAGGGAGCTTGAGAAGGGAATAAAAAAGAAAACAATTTTGTTCTTGGAAAAACCTTGGTTGGCCAATATTCTTTTCTTCTTAACTATTGAACAATTCCACCCTTTTTCTTATGTGCCTCTGGTGGAATTATTCAAACATTTATTATAAGTAAGAATTTTCCAAGATAATGGGAAAAAAATCCGAAATATTCCTCGAAGGACCTTAGATTTCTAAGAGATGTCTTATTGTCTGATCTATGCTATAGTTGTATTCTTACTAGAGGGTGTTAAAATGTCTTTCCATGTTTATAATATAAATCTAAATAATTATATGTACTTATTCACACTTCCAAAGGGCAGTCGTCATGGTAATGAGATCATGGGATGGCCTGGTGACTTCTCCCCCACCCTCCCCTCCCTCCCCCCCTCCCGACTTGACGACCACGCGCATGGGCAACACGCCGTGGTACTTTTACAAAAATACCCACTTGAATCAAGTGACTGACAGAAGCACACGGTTTCCATGGGAACACCTTACAATTACTTCAATCCCTCCCCTCCCTCTTTTTTTCCCATACTTTGGGAACCCACAAAACCTAGAATTACCGGTTTTACGTGATTGTCCAAATGAGATGTTACGTCACTGGTATAGAGAGAATCAACGCCAATTTCATTGGTACGCGTCAATCAACTAGAAACATCAAACACAAACACCGCTAAACCATAACAGTCGTCTAGAGCGATGAACAAACTTCAATACACTGGTCACATGTGGATTGTTGCTCTCATCCCCACCCCACCCAAAAAATTTTGCTCCCAAAGCCTTCGCTGAACAATAGGAGCGCAGGCTCCAGGAATAAAATTACAACTCATCGTCTTCCAACCCCGCCTCTTTCCACAGCCGACAGCTAATTCAAACTCGAAAAACAAAAAAATTAAAAGAAAAATTAGTTTTGTTATCCGTAACTTCGATGTGGACAATCACGTAAAATCGGCCGATCCTCTTCATATTCAATCCATTCTAGCAGTTCATTCTTAAGTTATACTAAGCTCATTAGGTCATTCCAGTATCAATATATATATATTTATCATATATATATATATATTACATACACTTGATTGCAAAAATGTTGTAGTATACATTTATACACATATGAATGAGATGCAAGATATCAAATGAGGTGCAGAACGTAAAAGTAACTTATTTGGTCTTATTTATCTTCTGTTGTATCAGAGACATAAGTATTGGAAAAAGTCAAGCTAAAAGAGTGTTTTCCACAAAATTCAGTGGCTAAGCAATCGTATTTAAGCATGTTTTACATTCTGAATCTCATTTGATATCTTGCATCTCATTAGATATATGTATAAATGTATACTACAACCTTTCTGCAATCAAGTGTATATATATATACTTATATATATATAGATATGTAAATATCTGTGCTCCGATGGAGTTTTGTTGAGGCCGGTTTAGACGGTACGATTTTCGCCAACGACTATCGTATACAACACGCTCGCGTCTGTCGTAGGCGAGTTGTAGGCTTGATTTACACGCTACGACTCGAGTTGTAGGAATGCGCGAGCATGTTGTATACGATAGTTGTGGGCGAAAATCGTACCGTCTAAACCGGCCTTTAGGCATTGTCCCGTGTGTTGCTAGGGGTATTACGTAATATACAAAGCATCCCTTGTGATTTTAGCTTTTATCATAAACTGTGACGAGACTTCTAGAATCGGATTCCACTGCGGCTAGGGTTATTCTTATCTAGAGGCCTTAGAGCGCTGCTATGAGCAACGCTCAACACCGTACTACCTCGTGTTCTGGCTCGCCTGACCGCACCTCCTTATAATATAACAGTTCAGCTAGTATATAGATATAAATATAGACCATGGAAATAATGCGTTGTGATGAAAACAAGTAACCTCATTGGGTAAAATATTAACCGACGATAGTCTCACTGACTGGTTGTGCACGATCAAATTATTAAGGGAGCCGTTCATTCTACAGTTGTCATAGCAACAAGGAAGACCTCAACTATCTAGTTTTCAAGGTAACAGAAATGTTAAGGACACGGCTTATGACCACGATGACTGATACAAAAGGCTTTCAAAACTCACTCTGCGTTGCTAGGCAACAAGTATAATACCGCACTGATCTAAGACTACGCTTGTATATTCAGCCAATTCCAATAATGCTAATTGAAAATGTTACATAAAGGGAGAAGGAGCGAACGAAAGCAAGCCAAACGAGGGCTCGGGAGATTTGAGCATTGCTCCAAATTTCTGTTAAGTACACACTAGGTTTTGAAGATTCCCCCCAGTTGAAAGAAACAAAGTCAAAGAGAAGTGAAGGACCACCTTAGCAGCCAAATTCTTTGGAAAATCAGTGTACAATTTCTTATTTGGCTCTTCTGAATCTGTCGAAATGAGGGGGCACCGCTTTTTGTCTAATAACTTAAGGCTTATCAAAGACCAGGTGACGAGAGAAAAAAAGGACAACAAAAATTCATGGGAATATAGAAATCTAGTTAATGATATTGATAAATATATAGCGAATAATCCCCATCAATTTTTGCTGTTTCCTTTGTTCGTTCAGTTCGTACCTGGATCTGAGAATCATTTTTGGGGGGGAGGGGAGGGGAGGTGTCCGTTACTTCTCCAGGACTTGGTGTGTGCATCATGTCTTGAATGACCACAGCGCTTTATATCATTGACATACATATACACTATCATATATACACCAAGGCCACCATCTTCATGGACTTATTACACAAAATACTGCCCTTGTTATCAGCATATTACAACATCGATCCGCGCCAGGTAAGCCCAGAGATGTTGTGAGACGACGATATCAGGTTGAAGTGACGGGTGATGTTGCTATCACAGGAGCTCGTACTGTCGAAGGTGCATTCTCTGAATTATGTCTCTGCAGTCATTAAACACCCGTCTTATGTTTTCTGTGTCAACAGCACACGTGAAGTGTGGATAACAGTAGTGTTTGCCGTCTCCGCTCGCTGTGCTGATCCGCTATGAAAACAAACCACGAATTAATGTCAGGATCATATAATCATAGGGACAACCTCAACACAGGGACCAAGGAGCGCAATTTTGATTGGTAGAGGCTAACACTTTGAAAACAAACCACGAATTAATGTCAGGATCATATAATCATAGGGACAACCTCAACACAGGGACCAAGGAGCGCAATTTTGATTGGTGGAGACTAACGCTTAGAAAACCAATCACAAATTAATATGAGGATCATATAATCATAGGGACAACATCAACACAGGGACCAAGGAGCGCAATTTTGATTGGTGGAGACTAACGCTTAGAAAACCAATCACAAATTAATATGAGGATCATATAATCATATTGGCAACCTCAACACAGGGACCAAGGAGCGCAATTTTGATTGGTGGAGACTAACGCTTAGAAAACCAATCACAAATCAATATGAGGATCATATAATCATAGGAAAACCTCAACACAGGGACCAAGGAGCGCAATTTTCTGTATTGTATGTGATCTTTTTATAAAGCAGTTGTAGACGTATTTTGCTATTGCTACTGCTATCATTTTGGGTGGACTCAT